TCGCATATATTAAGAACTGATCTCGAAATTTTATTGGATGTAATTATGTGAAGATTAATCGGATTAGTCGGGTTAGCCAGGTTAGCCGATTAGCTGGATTAACCTGGTTGCTATCCGGGTAAGAGTTAAATAAACGGGTGGGTGGAATTTTATACTACTACTGCTAGCGCTAGTGATACGAATCCAAACCGGATTAAGAGCAACTAATCGTAATTAAAGATTTCTTCATGAAATAAATCATGTATTATACAATTAACCATTAAAAATCTGACGAAAGTTGTCAATGATTATTATTGTCTGTCACGTGACCAATACTAAATTGCAGAATTTATCGTTATACAGCACAGTTTTAGTAATTTATTAAAGTCTATCTTTACTAATTCTATTTTATTATATACACTTAAATGTGAATCTTGAAACTATTGATTTTTAAATCCACAGCTAGATTAGGCTTGTTCATTATGAAATATTATTAATTAAAAAGTAAATAATCTAATGATTTTACTAAATAATACATACGTAAGTACCAGTGATATCTGTGATATTTGATACTATCCATAAATGTTATATCTTGGTCAAATTATTTACATAGAATTTGATACTCAAAGTAACCATTTGCCACCTTTAAAACCCGAATTAAAAAGTTAAAAAGAATGTTAAATACAAATAATCTACATTTAGTTTGTTGAAATTTTCTGATACTAAAAAATTGGATTCCTATTTAAATTTATAATATCTGCTAAAATCAGCACTTATATTCTTTTATTAACGACTTTAGCCCTAAAGGCTAACCTAATTCTAAAAAAAAAAGTACTAACAAAATAAATAAAAATAAATAAAATATCAAAATAAATCAAAAAAATAATTAAAATAATTAAAATAAATCAAAATAAATCAAAAATAAACCAAAATAATCAAAATTTTAACCTTAGCCAATTTTAGCACTTTTAGGATTGATTAGCTGTCACAATCATTTTAACTTCTTAATATATATCAGATATACAGTATATGAATAAAGACTTTATATTCTAATTTAAGGTATCTGTAACATATAAAATAGGGTTTATTTACCATTGTCATACATATTATTATAATAAATATTCTATTGTTACCAAAAATATCTAAAGGATATTTATTTCCAAAGAATGTTCATATAAAAAACAATATTACGTAATACGCAATTCGAAAATACGTGACATCAAACTTAATCATTAGGGTTTGGTTATTATAAATATTCCAAAATCGGTATCTACAAACTAATTTAGATTGTCCGACAGATGTCTCGAAATATACGCGATATTCGTTTATTATGATTATAAACGATTAAACAGGATATGAACACTATCACTACACAAATTTGTTACGTTACAAGACTTTTTCGAATGAACACACTATAGCGCCAAGATATTTTGTTTACATCATAAGGTGACACGGCCATTGAGGTTCTCTGCAAATGCGGTACGCAAAATTGAAAAAAAAGTTAATATGATATTATTGGTAGAGAGAATGTTCCAAGATGGAATGGGTGAATTTATCTTTATACGCATTGATTACTTCTTTGTTGACTCGACGAAGAAATGCATTAACATACGCCAAATAAAATCATTTAAAGAATGTGTATTTACAATTAATTGTTACCCATAAAGTCTTTGGTATCCTATAAATGGAAATATATCAGTCTTTATAAATATATATATGAACATATATGAATATATATGAATATATAGGAATCCAATGTTGTGCATTGCGCGATTGAGCACTCGGAATTTTTAACACCGGTGCGTACAGATAGTACATTATTGATGTCTGATTCTGTCGGTGACTTGGAGCATAATGTTAAGAGATCGTCGATTTTATCTCAAGTGTGATTATTATGTACAGTATGTATGTGCTGTACGTAGAGTCATTAATATTTTCAATGAGACAGGGTTGCAAATTTTTTTTTTTACCATGCTTTGTAATACTATGCTTGCAATATTATATTAAATAATTACATGCTTTGGTAAGTTGACAAGAATAACCTTAAATTATGTTTCGTTTAACATCACGTGTTTATACTCACAATTTAAAAGTAGTGTTGCATGTAAAGAATTAATTGGTCTCTATCAAATGATTTTCATCTCTTTTTTGTAGATAAATTTCCCTGCTTGGTAATTAATCAATTAGGGAACCAATTATCAACAATAGATAGGTTATATTTGAAGCGTAGTAATGTCGCAACAAATTATTTGATCACATATATATATATATAAAGAAAATGTCACATTCTATCATATTCTAGTTGGGTGAAAAAGAAAGTATAACACGTATAGATGTTAGTAATGTATTAAAGTTAGATAAACAGTTTTAAAAAAAAAATTTTTTTTGTAATGAAACTATTGTAACCTTAAAGAGTTCTCTTAAACCTTTTAACATTAATAAAATTTAACATTATGTTTCATAAATTAAAATACTTTCAAATCCCCAAAAAACGCGTTAGAATTACAAAAGAGATAGACAAGGATATACAGCCTTTTTCTTTTTAAAAAAAAGGATAAGCCAGATATAACCAGATAAAACCAGGCTTTGTGATTTATGTATTATTTATTGAAGAATCAGTGAATAAAACACGTGCACAATTCTGATTGGCACATAACAATTCCGAAACATATTAATATCAAAAAAGGATAACGTAGTAGATCCGTATTTATAAATTTATTAGTAGATATGTCTATATATATATATAAACGCTGCCCATTTGTCCGCTCAGCGCCCGCACCCTCCGCACTAAGTAGCGTACAAGCGGAAATTTTTCTCCGCTTCCGAAATTGGAACATAAAGTTTTGTAGAAACTTCCATACAGCCGATATAGTTAAGGCTTTAAATATTAGCTGATTAAACAATAATGAAAAAGTTAGTTGCATATTATATATAGATATATATTTATACATATTTGATAAAGCAAGGATAAGCAGTAATTCATGTGGAAGGAGTTCTTTTATTGTAAAAATCGTTCAAAGAATACCATATCAAATATTAAATATTTACAAGTATTTATTTTTTATTTTATTTATTTATTTTTTATTTTTACGATACTGTGGCTTACGATTTTATTTTAATAAAATAAATTTTTTTTTATCAATATACGATATAGCGATAAGTAAAAAATTTTAACATACACACCGTCAAAAAAGATGGCGCGAAAACTTTCATGTGGCTATTAAAATATGAATCGTAAATTTTAGCTTGATATCTGATCATGAAAGTAAGTCAAGGATTGACCTTAGATTAATTTAAAATTTTAAAAAATAATATGCAAATTTCTCTGTCTAAAATTTATAGTATAAGGATTTTGAATAATATAACAATTTCTCTACGTATCTAAAATTTATGGCATAAAGAAAAATTAGTTTAAAAGTGGAAAATTATATTATAACCTTTCGGAAATCACGTGAAACTATAACAAACACAAGGTTTAACAAGGTTAATATTTTTGTCATATAGTCTTTTCAGATAAGGTAAGCAGCAATAGGTTTAAGCAACAAAGAAGTTTCTCGTAATGAATATTTGCTTTCACGATTAACGTTTAAATAAGAACTGATTGTATTTTGGAACGTATGTCCCTGCATACTATCTCAAAACTATAGATGTATGATGATTAATACGTTTTACTAGTTGGGATTTTGAAGTCTTTGAATGTCTTGTAACTGTTCAATTCATTACTCCTGGAACATTTAGTGTTCCACAGACCAACAGATTAAATGTTATTATCTTTCTATTTGCTTACATGATTGACAAAGCCTTTGATGTAGGAATTAACGAATCATCTCTAAAAATATATTCGTAATATTAGATCATCTCAAACCAGTCTTCCGTATGTACCCTTATGTTTTCCTTACGAAATTTTCCTTAATAGTTTTAGTGGAACTTATATTTAAAGACAGACTTTAACATCATATTCTGTTTTTTACATGGCAAAAAAAAAAAAAAAAATTTGATTTAATAAATTTAATGGTTACAATCTGCGCCATGATATGATAATCTACTTGTAAATCTTTCAGTATCTTGTCAAGTTTGGTAAATTTTAGATATTAAATATTGATCGAATCAAATACAAACGGAAATTAATTATGTACACAAATGGGAAATTATTGTGTATTATGAAATTGTTAAAAAAAGGTTGTCAAGTTATACGTAAGAGTAATGACAGCATTTATTTTTCGACGATTGTTCTGACATTCTGACATTCGGAGTTTTGAAAAATTACGAAGCACTCCGATGGAGTTTAGACTACAGAATTAATATCTGATATGTTACATACAAGATATAAGACTAATTTCGAAGATATAGGATTTGTGTATCTACAAAATGGCTCGAACAATTTGATGTATGCAACTTATTGCTAAATATAGCTTCCGCACGTGATGATTAAGTGTTTAAACGCGTAACTTGTGAAATTTGATAAAGAAAGATGCCTGCGTGTTTCATTTTTTTATTTTTTCATTTTAAACTATAAATTCACTTTAGTAAATCAACAATATCAGTGATACTTGTTCTTGTATTAGAATAACTATTCTTTTAGTATGTTTTGTTTCAATTTGATCAATGTTTTAAAATTTATTAAACAACTTTAAACGAGCCACATTGTTACTGTGCACTAGCCACAATATATTCATTTCTAAAATTAGTTTCATTATAATAACTAATGATCAATATCATACCATATTATGGTTTGATTTTTTTACCTTTACGAATAAATTATTCATTTTTTAATATGTTTTAATAAATTTGTTATTGGTTATCAGTTGAATCAATTTAATCAAATTATAGTAGCGTATCGGATTGCCAACTCCATTTCACGCAGATCAAATTCCGTATATTAGAGTTACAAACAATTATATAAACTATTGAGAGTCGTACTTTTCTTTTTTTTCTGGCCTTTAATAATTCATATTTCTTTCACACATCCCATCTCTTCTGGAAATTATTTATCTCTCTTAGAAATTAATAAACGCTCCAACATGTCTCATACAATTACTCAACAAAAAAAGTATCTGTCAAAAATAAATAGTAATCAATCATGTTCTCGTATTCGAAAGCTCAAACTTATTAATAATAATAATCTTTCAACCAATAACCCTTCTCAAAAGCAATATTCTCCTTACACTACAAAAGATCGTAGTAATTGCAATCACTGTAAGGAAACTGGAGACAATATGAAATTACTTACAGAAAGATTAACAAGAATTGAAAAATTGATTGGTGATTTGTCTAAACTTGTTCAAGAATTCAATCCGCCCATTATTAATAAGGTCAGTTTTGATATATAAATATATATATGAATAAGTAAAATAAGTGGAATAAAATCGTCATTTGAATTTTATTGCTATTATCGATTCTTAGTATCAAAATTTCTAACAATTTATTGGGTTAATTATAGATGACTCTTAGATCGCTTACGTCTCCAGGTCAAATGCTTCATGATATAGATTTATCAACCTGTAAGCTTGATGACCTTCAAAAAATCGTAGCTTTCACTACAAATGCTACAAATTTTTCGCTCAAGAAATTTCATGCTGAACCAGAGCAAGATCTTAAACTCTTCCCTAAAGGTTCAATTGATCCCAAGTATTTGATGAATAGAAACGTAGTATCAAAAGCTACATCGAGCAAGAAACAAGAAAGACAAGATTCCGGTTATTTAAGCGCTGAAGAAGATTTTAAACCTGTGATCTATAAGGAAGGTGAACCTTGGTTGTAATTTCATCAAATTTTTTGTTTTTTTTTGACTTTATGGAAAATGGAAAAAATTGAACAATCTTTTCAAATATGCTCAACATCTTTCTTGTGTTATAATAAGCAAATGTTTTCAATTATATTTCAATTATATGTATCTTTTTTTTGCAAAAAAAAAAAAATTCATTTAAAGAAAAAACAATGTTTCGTCCATAATTTTCGAAACTTTTTGTTATTTTCTTTATTGCTTTTTGATACCTTTTTATTTATAATTTTCATTATACTAAATTGTTTTTTTTTCTACTATCTTTTATGTATATTCAAAACAAAAAAAAAAAGTATATAGTTCATTCGTTCTATAAAATTTCCATATTGTCAATTATAAAATATTTCTAATAATGGTAAATAGTTAGAATTTAATTTTTATTTTTATTTTTACAATGTACATACGTTCTTGCGTACGTATTCTGAATTATTTTCTCAATTTTCATAGTAATGACACTTCACATAAATATAATTTGCAAATCTGCAGTATTGTATATCAATTGTATGGGATTGTGTTGATACGCGTAGTTCTTAAAATAAAGGTCCTATAAACAGTAAGACAGATATCTGAAATATAAAAAAATTTCACGTTGGTCTATATCCATGTTCTATGAAAATAAACCAAAAAAAGCATGAAATATCAAAGAATAAACATGATAATTATTGATTTACAGTATCTATTTTACACATGCAAAAACGCATGCAAAAAAAAAAGAAGATTGCTTTGAAACAGTACAAGTACAGAAAGTTGCACGAACGAATTCGATTTGTGATCAAATAAACTAATTTATAATGATTTACTTTATTATGTTCTTTCATTTTGTTCATTTTGTACGATTCATTCTTTTTTTTTCTCATGCATCTAATCAATTCCATTGACTATTCATTATATAATGGTAAAAAGGCCATATAAAGAGCCGAGTTAACCGGTTTGTATATTTATTAGAATAAAAACATTAATGAATAAAGTCGAACAAGTCGATAATAAAGATTAAAAAAGGTATCTATGTTTTAGCTGTAACTATTCTATTCTATATTTGTTCACGATAAATATTCAAATTTCTCATTGATATTGATATCGATATCAATATAGTATAATATACCCAAGTTTAAAAATGTACCTCCGACTAATGCCTAAATCGATTACAAAGATAACGATAGATTTTGCCAATTTGCCCCAAATTAATTCACAGTTTAATTTTTCGTGATCTTGTTTAAAAAAAATTCTACTAAACATCATATACAATATAATATCACACAATATAATAATATTCGATACTTTAAAAAACAAATACATATGTGCATATAAATACCATACTAAATATATTCATATAATTAGTGTCTTGTGAATTAAGAACTATAAGAAAACTTAACTGTTAAGAAAATAAAGAATAAAAAATATTCTGATCACGTGATAATTCTCATCATAGTAAGGATCGTAACCACACGTAGGTAAATTCATTTCATAGATTCATTTCAGAACGTAATATCAAAGATAAATTCTTGTAAGCACCTTTAACGTGTATGGATTCTCTACCATAAGAAATACTCGCCATATATAAAAATTTATGTTTAGGTGGAAGGTTATTATCAGCGATAAGTTGTTGACGATAAGCATACCTATAAATGATGAATGCTGATGGTGGTTTAAGAAGCTTTACGTTAACGCGAGTTTTATAAACAGCTTTAAGTTGATTGATTGTTACTGGTGGTGGATAAAGTGGTTGCGTAGGAACAGGTGGATCGACACGGACAACCATTTATGAATTCTGTATAGAGTATAATATAGTTTAAGCTGTTGGTATTTGATATTTTCTTTTTTTTTATGTATTTTTTTTCTATTTTTTATTTTATTTTTTTTTTGAAAAATTTTTTTAATTTTTTGGTGGTAGAGCTTACCAATGGTAACATTTATATATAAAAAAATCGTGTTTAAATGTTTTCATGTTCATTACAAAATGAAAGTTTTTTAACCTTAATCTGAAACATTCGTTAACATTCATTTGTAAGAAAAACACAAATTGATGCCACTTGAACGGTCTTGAGACCACTGAAAATACACGCGTAAAAGGCCTTCAGGTAAGTGACAGATATTGTACGACATATATCACATATATTGAATGTAGCTTTGAGCATAATATATTTGATACAAGTAAATTTATTATTTAACACATGACATACTATGCAAAAAGTTCTTTTTTTTAAAAAAAATATCAGATGATAAATAATTAATTTAATTACGTTTTACAAAATCACATGTAAACAATGATATTAAATTTATTGGTTGTGTGGAACATATGATAATACATTAAGTCATGTACAATCTACGTAGCATTACCTTAAATGATTCTTTAAAGTTACCTGCTTTTGAAAAAAATTCCTATTTCACCAGAATCGAATTTACCCTTTTTGACTAACAAATCATTAATATTAATTTTTATTTGTTATACGCAATCTAACGTGTCAACAATTGTCTTAAAGTAATGAAAGAGATTATCCACAGTATATCGATACACCGATATTATAAATACGTATATGTGTGTACCTCAAATGTTCATTGTTGATCGGAATGGCTCAGACGTAAATACTCGGTCTAGATTAATTCTATCTAAATTAATAATTTAGGTCAGATTGACATTTGAAACAAAATTGTAATCGAGGTAAACCATATAACTTATAAAAGAACAATATTTATAAATTCTGTAACAATCAGAAAATAATGCAACACACTTTGAATAGTTGAAATTTAATAGTTAAATTTTAGACTTTTTTTTTTTTGTTTTATTAAATCGATCTCCGAATTTTTTAGTCCAAGTTTTTTCAAACAGTAACTTTACTATTTGTAAATTTCAAGGCATGTACTTTATTGCACATGCAATTCATTACTTTTGCCAAAGCCTTAATGTGTAATGTATAGCAATACAATGTGCTCTATAATTCGCTAATTACATTGCTAGAATAGAATTTGTTTTGTCTCTCATACGCTTGTTATAAACGACTAAACACATACGGGTTTTATTTCTTCCGCGTCGAGCATCCTCT